TCTAGCTTCGTGCCACTATTCAAATATTGTCCTGGAGTGGTACGAAGCCAACGGGGTCACTGGAACCGGAAGGCCCATCGAAAAATACTGGGCTATTATGAAGCAGGCATTACGGAAGCATCCCAAGGAGGATTTCCGTACAGAAAAAGCTGCAGCCAGATGATGTACAGAACCTAATGAGTGGAGTTAAGGTGCGAGCGTAGGGTTATAGTATTGAAGTTGAATGGAATAAATATGCCAAAAGCGTACTAATGGATTAAATTTTATTTTCTGATAGTTTGAAAAGGATCGGTCAACTAGGTAATTTTCTACAGCGTTTTTTCCGTGATGCAATTTGATGTGGAACACCATGCAGAGTTTCCTTGATATAAACTTATATACTTCTCTGACAACAAATTGCCTTAAAAGTTTTTCAAAATTGGTGAGTGGAGTTTTTCCGAAAAGTTGTATACACAAACAGAAACAAAAGTCCAAATTTCCAAAAATACTGAGCATATTGCCTGTTTTCGAGTATAGGCACGTTGAATTTCAGTGGAAAGCTTGCCCTCTGAAATCAAAATTGCGTATTTGAGAGTAAATCATTCGACTCGACCCACTTGTCCAGACGAAGAAGAATCATTTTCTTCAACAACTTCCGAATGTAGAAAAGTATTGCGATGGGACGGTACGAGCTATGATCGGATGCAAGTTTAGCGGGTTTGAATGGCAATTACTCTCACTTGGCTCCAATCATCCGGAACAACGTTGTGCTGATTTAAACTGATTGAACAAGTTCAACAAGCGCCTCTTCGCGACGATCCTAGAAGTTCGGCCAAGCGTCTATTCGTCAATCGTCTATTCGGTTAAATGTTCATTCGGCCAAACGTCCGTTTGCCAAAATTCCATATGAAAAACAGGGTATCATCTTTGAAATACACTAAACGTTCGCTGGTTTTTTCTAAAAATAACAACGTTTTTCGACAACTGTCGAAAATAAGTTTTTTTTTTCCTTTGGTTTGTTTTTTCCGTCGATCTTGTTTTCCGTGCTGAGCGCCAATGCTACCGACGTGCCAGGAAGGCAGCTCCCACACCTGGACCCTACCTATCGACCCATCAACTCATGAACCAGGGACAAACGGCTTTACTTTCCTTTCAGAGATGTTATGCCTCAGAACATCCCGGCGGCGCCGACTGGGATTGAACCCAGGCCTGCTGGGGTGAGAGGTAATCACGCTTACCACTGCACCACCGGCGCCGTTGTCGAAAATAAGTTGCCGGCTGACTAATTATTGGCAGTAGTCAACATTCGGCTACGATAAACTGAAAATATTCACATAGTCTATTTGTGTTAGCGAACGTTTAGTGTATCAGTAATGTAAAATTTTAAATACAGCTCAAATTACCTATTACTTACTATTAAATTGCTGTCATTTCGAACATTCTTATCGGTTATCGCCGTTACCCTGTTCCTCGTAGCGATGAACGGAGTCTTTCGTAAACTACCGAAGAACAGATATGTGTTGACATCCTCATCGTCACCACCGGGCCCATCCTGCCTTTCCGCATAACCGCAGTTATCGCAACCAAAGCCGCTGCTTTCATCTCGAAAACATCTGGAAATCAAGGGATCTTCCTCCTCGACGAGAGGAACAGACTCCTCCGCACGGCTGCCTACGAAGATCTCCCCCCAGTGGCCAGGGTCCACTGGCATGGAGACAAATGCTGACAAACACCATTAGCGAAAATCGAAAGCCGGAATAAGGACAGGTTCAAAGCCGGAGACAATTCCGTGGACAAAAAAGGAGAAAAATACCCCACGCACACACACCGATACACGAACGGATGTCGTTCTCGGACCGGGGTCGGTACCGGTCTAGCCGGAAACATCACGCTAACCGCCGCACAGTGGGGCAGCGAAGCCATTCGTGTGGCCAAAACCTCTAGCGCCGTTGGTTTGCTTTCTACAGCAATACAATGTTCTACAAAGTTGCTCAATACTAAAAGCGCCATCTTTTGAAGGTTTCATATTAGTTCATTTTTACGCCACATAGGTGGCGCTCGAGTCTATCTTTTGAACGGAGCATCCTAGCCGAATGGTTTTTGAGGCAAAGTTGTGTAATTTGAAGTGTTGAGAAATTTTGTCGAATACATCAAAACTCTATGACTCATATTAAGCGAGATATCGGGCAATTAGGAAAACTAACCTCTAAAATTGCGTTTTTTCCTTTTTTTCACCTCTATACGTCAAATGTATATGTTTTATATTCTGATAATTATCAAAATGGTTTGACTCATCCAATAAATACCCATTACTTTATATATCATGCTTTATTATAAAGTTATTAACATAAATGTCTCAAAAAAGTGATGCATAAAAATGTCAATTATTCAAAATATAGCAAAAAGTAGCAGCCAATTTTTTTACAGTGATTAGTGTAGACTTTGCTGGGTAAAATAACGATCACAGTTCAACAGGCAACTGCAGGCATTTTTACATAACATTATTTGAATATTGCATACACACTTAGAAAAATTGATGTAATTTTAAATGCTCTGAGACTGACATATACGAGCGTCAAATTTGACATAAAATTGAGTCATAATAGACGCGAAATTCAAGTCAATCAGGTTCAAGTTCAGTCTCGGGGACCTTAATTTTACATGAAATTTGTGTTTACTTTTCATACTTTATGTCAAAGATTGATTCCGATTGATTAGTTATTTCTAAGTGTGCATGGTAAATTCTTTCAAATTTGTTGAAATTTTGCTTTGTGTGTAAAACATGATAAGATGTTAACAATCAGAAACACAAGCACAGAAGCACGCAGATTCTTAACTAACGCAACCCAAACAAGTGCAATTACTGGTATTAATGAAGAACTAATTGACCGATGCGATACAATTCTTCATACGTTGTCTTCCGGATTTTCGATCAACATAGCAGAATTGTGAAATTTTACTGAAGAAACTGCTCGTCTTTATGTTAACCTTTATAAATGGTATCCAATGCCAGCCTCTGTCCATAAGGTTTTAATCCACGTATCGCAAGCAATCCAAATTTCATTGCTTGCAATTGGTATGTTAAGCGAGGAGGCTCAGGAAGCCAGAAATAAAGACTTCAGAAAATTTCGAGAACGATACAGTTGCAAACCAAGTCGAAAGGACACTATGGAGGACGTTGGGGGATGGACATTATAAACCAGCAGTTTTAAGTCTCCTAGTAATCTAATCATGCATCTATTGCATTAATCAATAACATTTTATCATGTTCTACACACAAAGCAAAATTTCAACAAATTTGAAAGAATTTACCATATGCAATATTCAAATGATGTTATATGAAAATGCCTGCAGTTGCCTGTTGAGCTGTGGTCATTATTTTACCCAGCAATGTCTACACTAATCACTGTAAAAAAATTGGCTGCTACTTTTTGCTATATTTTGAGTAATTGACATTTTTATACATCACTTTTTTGAGACATTTATGTTAATAACTTTATAATAAAGCATGATATATAAAGTAATGGATATTTATTGGAGAAGTCAAACCATTTTGATAATTATCAGAGCATAAAACATATACATTTGACGTATAGAGGTGAAAAAAAGGAAAAAAACGCAATTTTAGAGGTTAGTTTTCCTAATTGCGCGATATCTCGCTTAATATGAGTCATAGAGTTTTGATGTATTCGACAAAATTTCTCAACACTTCAAATTACACAACTTTGCCGTAAAAACCATTCGGCTAGGATGCTCCGTTCAAAAGATAGACTCGAGCGTCACCTATGTGGCGTAAAAATGAACTAATATGAAACCTTCAAAAGATGGCGCTTTTAGTATTGAGCAACTTTGTAGAACATTGTATTGCTGTAGAAAGCAAACCAACGGCGCTAGAGGTTTTGGCCACACGAATGGCTTCGCTGCCCCACTGTGCGCCGCAATGTTCTACCCTCTCTGCTGAAGCTGCTGCCATCTTTATCGCTGCTACAACGCTCTCCAACCGACCGATCCTGGTCCTCACGGATTCGCACAGCGTCATACAAGCCCTGACATCCGAGGCCCCGACTCATCCCTGGGTACTGGCGACGATGAAGTCCACGCCACCAAACACGGTATTCTGCTGGGTTCCGGGGCACTGCGGAATACCAGGCAACTCTGAAGCTGACTTTCTGGCTGGGGCAGGACCATCTGCCCCTCGCTATACCAACGAATTACCGTTACACGATGTCAAGCGATGGATCGTGAGCACTGGACTGGTCACACCAAGATCTCGCACAATTTCCACAGGACTTGCGTCGGTTGTAGAGCTTCAGCCTCAATCGAGCATATTCTATGCGTATGCCCTCAGTATCAAAACCTGCGGGAATTCCACGGGCTTCCAAATAGCATACCCGACAGTTGGCTGATGATCCCTCAACACTGGCAGCAGTAATGCGCCTTTGTTTTTTAAAGTTTAGTCTTTTTTAATTCCTTTCGGCTGTTGGGACATTTCTGGCTGGTGTGGGGCTCTGTCTTATTCAGATTTTAATGTTGTGTCTTTAATATGTTGTGTAAATGTACAATCGACCCAGGAACCAATTTTCGGTTGACTGTAAAAAAAACTGTGTTTACTGTAAAAAAAAACTACTCTGTTGGGGGTCCTCCTTCTGAGGCCCCACCTTTCATGGACGAGATGCACTAGCCTATGGCTAAAAATCTCAAAAATAAAGTCTAAAAAAAGAATATTCTTATTGTTACTGTATTAAGTGTTGTGCTTTCGTCTCTTTTCGGACATTCTTGTTCATAAAAAAAGTTCGACTTTATATACTTATGACCAGTACTGTAAGCCTGCAGCCAAGCGGAGATTCTCGTATCTACGGAAAGTAGAAGGATTAGGTTGAGAAACCTTTTCGTTCGTTTCCATTCATGAATATTAGACGATAGTTGAAGGTAAACAACGTCAAAGTATTATTATTTATTCATTCGAAATATATTCCAGTGGAATCCAACTATAATAAGAGTATTTTGCTGCATCGTTTCAGGTTTTGTACATGCACATTGCTGGTGTTGAGAAGCTTCCGCTAAGCACAACTGGCTCGCCGCTGCTGATACGATGCAAGACCTTTTTGTCTATCACGTTTGTCATTCCGAGGGAACGTGAGTGTCATGATGTGTATACAACGCTGATGAAGCTCTACCAGCCGGTAAACATCAAGAATCTCTATTGCTTCCAATACACATCGCATGCCAAAGAGCTGCCAAAGACAGTTGGATGGGATTATTTCAAATTGGAAACCGAATTCAAACGAATGCGGGCCCCCAACGACCAGTGGAGCCTATGTATGTTGAACAAAAACTACGAGCTATGCGACACCTACCCCCAACAGCTATACGTGCCAGCCGAGGCGAGCACTGCCATGTTGCTCGGTAGCTCCCGCTTCCGGTCTAAGGGGCGCCTTCCGGCGCTGACCTATTTACACTCAAACAAGGCATCGATCTGCCGCTGCAGTCAACCGCTGTCCGGTTTCAGTGCCCGCTGTTTAGAGGACGAACAAATGTTGGAAGCGATAAGGAAAACCAACCCCAACTGCGGATTTATGTATGTCGTCGACACTAGACCGAGGGTAAGTAGCTTTCCGCCTCATTCCCATTTTAGCTCAAACCTACTTTTTGCCGTAATCCTCACCGTGTGGTGGCCTTGATTGACACAATAAGTCATAGTCACTTCCACGTGCCCATCCAGATTTCATTTATTGACTAACCACCACCTTTTATTGATTTGACGCTCTTTCTACTCCACCCCCAATCGTTCAGATCAATGCAATGGCAAATCGTGCAGCCGGAAAGGGATACGAAAACGAAGCGAACTACGAGAACATTAAATTCCAGTTTCTCGGCATTGAAAACATTCACACAATGCGAACCAGCCTACAGAAAGTTATTGAATGTAAGTATTAAAGTTTGCACAATGGAATCGCAACTGTTCCGTTGGGCATTGTAGAATATGAATAATTTCCCTTCAATCCGATTTTCCTAGGTTGTGAGCAGAAAGCTCCCACCATGAATAGTTTTCTGAGCGCTCTTGAGTCCTCCGGATGGCTAAAGCACATTCGGTCAATATTGGATACATCTAGGTACGTTGGCTCGTGGCATCCGACTATTCAGGCAACTTTAAAATTTTCGTTACAGCTTTATAGCAAATGCCGTCGATAAAGGAATTTCCGCTGTTGTACATTGCTCAGATGGGTGGGATAGAACCGCACAAGTTTGCTCGTTAGCAGCTCTCATGTTGGATCCATACTATCGCACTATTAAAGGATATCAAGTAATGTGCAACTGCATACATATATGTTTAAGCTATTTTCTCATGGCTGATATTCTCTCAACGCAGGCTCTCATAGAAAAAGACTGGTTAGCATTCGGACACAAGTTCAGCGATCGTTGCGGTCATATTCAAAACGATCCGAAGGAAGTGTCTCCCGTATTTACGCAGCTGTTGGATTGCACCTGGCAGCTAATGCAGCAGCGAAACGATGCATTTGAGTTCAACGAGCGCTTCCTGCTTATCTTGCACGACCACGTCATGTCCTGTCAATACGGTACATTTGTTGGTAACTGCGAAAAGGATCGGTTGGATCTGCGACTGTCGGAAAAGACATTTTCGCTGTGGGGCTTCATGTCCAATCATTTGAATGAGTACATCAACCCATTGTACAGGCCGGAAATGGACGAGACCATTCGGCCAAATTTAGCTCCTCAATGTATAAAATTCTGGCGCGGAATGTACAGTCGGTTTGAAAGCGGCATTCACCCAAGGGAGCCATTGGAGGACATGTTGATCGCTAGTAAAGACCACTCAACGTCGCTGGATGACCACGTGCAGTTGTTGACAAAGGTGAGTTGCAAAGATACCGTTGAGTTTTCTACTTTGTCGAGTGCGGTTGAATGTCATTTCCCGGAAAACCATTTCACGGAAGACCATTTACTAGAATGGGCCACATTATCCCATTTAGTACGTTAGGCTCCCTAGCTAAAGAGTTATTTTTCGGCTTATTTTTAGATGTTTTTCTTTTAATTTTCAGCCAACGAATTGAAGATTTTCACGTGAAATAATGTTTAAAATTGGCATCTTTAATTTATAAGCTTCATAAACATGTATTTTAGCTTATATCAACAAGAATTAAAATACAAGCTACGTAAACAAAAAAAATGATAAACATTAGGTGATACGTCAATTAGATTCGTTTTCCGGAACTTATTTACAGTTGTGTTCGATAAAATAGCAGCGCATGCCGATTTTCATACAAAATGGTCAACTTTGACATGATGTAACTTTTTAAACTTATCATCAATTGAGCTGAAACGTTTGCCAAAGAACTACAAATATGTTCAATTTTATGATTACAAATTATTAAATTTTTGGAAGCACCTGCCGGAAAGTGAGACACCAGGTAAAATTGTTCAAAATAATAGCATTACTAATAATTTTCATTTCAGCTTCGTCTCGAGATTTTAAATTTTACATTTTTAAAAATTCTAACAATCCCCACCTAGTTAACAAAAGTACATAATAGTTAAAAATGTTTAAAATGTTTGCAGCACGTAAATTTTCAAAAAAAACAGCTATTATTTTAAACAATTTTACGTGGTGTTTCACTTTCCGACAGGTGCTTCCTTAAATATAATATTTTGTAATCGTTAAATTGAACATATTGTAGTTCTTTAGCGAACGTTTCAGCTCAATTGATCATAAGTTAACAAAGTAACATAATGTCAAAGTTGACCATTTTGTATGAAAATCGGCATGCGTTGCTATTTTATCGAACACAGTTGTCCTATTATTTTTTTTATAGGGGAATTTACGTATTCTCGTCAATCTAAGCAGCGTCTGCACTTCTACTAGCATTTTCTCAGCGTCACGCACATATATGATGTGTCTGTTTGTTTACATTCATCTGCTGCTTGCTTCTCTATCCATTCAAAACACAGAATTTTTCAAAACGTTTTGAAAGCGTTTTTACAACGCTCCAAACTTCTCAGGTGAGTGTGACTATTGTCGGCAGTCTCTTTTTCTTCGGCAACCTTCCCATTAGAACTGCGTGTTAACCAGCTGTTCTATTATCGGCAACTCGAAATCAACCTCATTTTGTAGTGCGTATGCTTTATTTGAAGATAAATGTAGCATTACTGGATTGCTCGATCGTTCAAATATAATCAGATTGAAGCTGAAAGGCTAAACAATCGTTTGGACACATTCAGGGAAGTGCGTTGATGGGAAAACATAGTGAAATTAACGTTTAAATTTTGGTTGCCGAAAACAGTCAATGGGTGCCGAAGCCAACATTTACCCTATTTCGTCAAGCAAAAATATACTACATACAATGGTCTTTCTTATGTGCTATGCACTATTTCTATTATACAGGGAAAAAAAAACTGAATTTTATTGGTGATGTAAACATCCATGCATGCATGTGAACTTCCTTTTCACGTAAACTAGTAACTTGCAGAAAATTTTGCTTGCTAAAATGGACAGTTGCATCCAATATATGGAATGTATCATGACCAAGGAATCAAAAATATCTGAAAATGACGAACTATCAAGGGATCAACGTTCAACGGGATGATAACGTTAAATCAGCAATAGAAAGCAATAATGCAATCTTCGTCCCATTTTTTATTACAATATGCCTTTGCAATATAGCTCGCTCGGATCGGTAGAAGGAAAATACCAAATTGTTGGCAAGCCGCTTCACGAAGTAACGCCGAAGATAATAGGGGTAAAAGGGGCATAGTGAGCATCCCGTGCACCAGCTTCTACTTTCGGCCATTCGGAACAAATTGGTTGGTGGTAGCATCAATACCATAATGATATTGAACGTACTACCAGTTGATTTGTTTAATGCAGCTGGAGATCCAGAGCCAAACTGCAGGATGCTCACTATGCCCCGCCTGTTCACTATGCCCCTTCTCCCCCTATACGTGTGTTAATTAGCAATGGGCGATCTTGGATCTAAGATCGATTCTTTTGGTTCGATTAAACGATTTTTTGAATCGATCTCAAACACGACAAAAATCTACTGGATCGATCCTTATAATTTGATTTTTGTTTCGATAAAAAAAAAATCAATGCATTTGCATTTGCAATTTAATATTGATTTTTTTTTGTCTGCACCTTTGTGAAACCATCAGAATCGATATCAGCTCAATGCAAAACGCTTTCTTCAATTAGATTTCTTGGGATCCCTCTCGGATGAGTCTGAGTCGGATGGTTTGTAACAGTCACTCCATGTTTTAAATAGTAAATAAGTCATAAATAAAATAAGAATGAAATAGATCTAATCCATACGCCAAAAACTATGCCAGTAGCAAAACCGAGGGGGGCGACACATCTAAATCTCAAGTCTAGATGCTCAACAAATCTCACACTAGCGAATCAACTTTCGAAAAATCTTCTTTCATTTCTCGCATCTACTTGCATCGCGCATCATCTTTTTGCAGGAAGTCTTCAGAATCGTCATCAATCTTCTTTCTATCTACTCAGCGTGTGCGCAGCTAGCCACAGCAAAACACAATCTTTCTGCATCGTAGATAGAGTCGTTCCCCTCGATCAAAACGACACTGGTCGATTTACTATAAAAATAGAATGCCTCGTGAGTAAAGCTACTCGACCTTGTGCAATTTTTCCCAAGGCCGAGTCCAGTGAAATCTTCGGGAAAGTTGGGAAAAGAGAAAGTGTGGCTACACCCGACTTTGAAGAGGACCAGCGATCGGAATAATCTCTCGCATTGCCGATCTAGTTCGAAGAAGTTCGCGGGAAAATCGAACTTCCGTTAAGTTCGGCCGAGGTCACCTTCCCTAATCTGAGGGTCACGGTTTCGCTTGACTTTCGTCCGAACAGCAGTCGTGCAGTGGAAGTGTTTCGTTTTGTTCGCGTGATAGTTTCGTTTTGTAAATTATAGTTATAAATCTAAACGTAGTGTGCGTCATAGTGTGTGCGAAAAACAAGCTAGACCAGCCGGCTACGCTTAACTTCCAACACCATCATCTGCATCCCCGGGGTGAATAATCCCGGCAACCGTCACCTTGTCCGGTGGAAAGCGCTTCGCATCCACATCGCTGAACGGGGCTTTGTGGTTAACAACTGCCACTGCTGTTGAGATCACGTTCGTCCACCCACGTGGAAATCGTTGGCCGTTCAACACCAACGGTCGAACGCGCATCGATTGAGTAGCATCGTCGCCGCGCCAGTAACAGCAGCGCAGCAATCAGCAGCTAAATCAACTGGAGAGTCCGTTCTGTGGCGTCCGGCGAGGGCGCCACGGAGGACCCTTTTTTGTCGACCATAAGGTCGAAGAGCATGAATTGCTAAGATTAGGATTAGTCCAATAATTGTAAGGTTGGGGTGTCGGCAAGACAAACGTGCGCACGTATCGTCATATATGGATGCCCACCCAACCCATAAATGTTAGACACCCTGGCAGCGTTGCCAGATATACCGATTTATCGGTATTTATACCGATTTCCGAACTAGATACCGATGTACAGATAAGGTTCCTCAGAATACCGATTTATACAGATTTTTATTAATAATCAATCGCTCGAATTTCGGAGAAAATGTTTGTGAGAGACTTGTATCTTTTTGAATACCTCATATTTTTTGAGCCTTCAAAATTCTAAACAATCATCTCTAAAGATGCCTTGTGCTTGATATTCTTTCGACTAATGTTTGCATTTCCTCGCCGTTTTTGGCTACCCATCAATCGAGAAATAGTCGATTGCCCTTTCCGGTAATTCCTAGGGAAATATTTTTTAAACATTATTTAACTTCCGGAAGTATTTATTCATTTTTAAACTTCCTGAAGTTTCATACAACTTTCTCTTGAATTTTCTTCCACCTTACCTTGGAAGCTTCTTCAGCCTTCGCTCGAATGATTCTTTCATCATCTCCTGCCAGTTTTTTTCAAGTTTCCCGGAACTTCAAGGATGCTATCAGATTTTTATTGCAGACCCACACTAGCTGCAGGAACATTTAAGAAGTTCTGAAACTTCAGAAAAGTCCAGAATTTTATGTAAGTGTCGATAAATCAAAGACAGTTGCATTAACTTCTGTTAAAATTCGAAAACCCGGAAATTTCAGAAAAGTTCCAGCAAACTCCAGTGAACTTAAGGAAACTTAAAAATATTTTGAAAACTTCACAAGTCCAAAGAACTTCAGGGAAATTTAATAGTTTTCAGGAACTTTAGTGAAGCTTAGAGAACAGATCAATTAATTTCAATGAGGCAATTTCCGAAAACTTTAGCAACGTCCTGAGGGGCTCATGCAAATTTAGGAAACGTAAGGGAAGTTACATGAACATTAGAACATTGTGAGAAAATTTTATGGGAAGTTCTATGCTTTTTAATGACAGTGTCGATAACTTTAAAAAATAAAAAAAAATCGGGAAGATCAGAGAACTTCAATGCTGATGTTACAATAAATTCAAGAAAATTGTGAGAGCACATAAGAGATTTCGTAATCTTCAAGAAAGTCCAGAGACCTTCATAGATGATTAGAGATATTCCGGTATTCTCATTATAATCAGGGAAATTTTGAGCGCTTCGAGGATGACCAGAGAACTCCAAAACAGCCCCTAATTTCAGGAAAATTACAATAACTTTTAAGGAATTTGGAGGAATTATGGAATATTCCTAAGTGCATTTCAGGCATGTTCTGAAAACTTCAAGGAAATTACGGAGTATTCAGGGATGTTTTATGAATTTATGTCCTTGCTTCTTTTGACTGTTCCATAAGCCCACTTCCGTCAGATGTTTTTTCCAATCTACCTTAGGAAGTTTCTTCCAGTGTCTCCAGGAAGTTTCTTTCATCTTCTCCAGGAAGTTCAATTAATCCTCCCAGAAATTTCTTCCGTCTTGTGCTAGAAGTTTGACTATAACCCAAAGGTTTTTTGTTCGACTTCTATTGGATATTTTTTTCAAGTTTCTTCTGGCTTTCTTCGGAAATTTACTTCCGATTTCCGAAACTTTTCTGGCTTCCTTTGGATGTAACATCCGATTTAAATAGTTTATTTAAATTTTCGCCACAAGTTTTTCAGTTCGTGTCCCGGATGTTTTTCCAAATTTTCTTAGAACTTTCCTCGAACTTCATCCAAGAGAGCTTCTTTCGTCTTTCTCTAGATGTTTTTTCAGCTTCGTTCAGAGGCTAATTCAAACCTTTCCCAGAGTTTTCTTCCGGAATTTTCCGATCATAGTTCAAAAGCTTAATTAATTAATTGCTTTGATTAACGGGTTTCTCAGTCTTAAAACACTACAACGACTACGATGTAATCTGCCCGATATTTCGGCAATCGATTGTGGCCTTTTTCAAGGGAAAATATATTGTTTGTCGTTATTGTCAAAAGTTTAGTCGTTGTTGTGGCTGATTTTCCATATTTTGGTTTCATTTAATAATATTTCATTGAAAAAAAAACTACTTGGTCACAATTTTGATCACCACTTGAGGACAACGATAATTTAAAAAAAAAATTTAAGATTGTTTTAAGACTTAGAAACCCGTTAAACAAAGCAATTTCCCTCATGTCCCGCCAAAAATATAAAATTAATTAAATAGTAAATACCGATAAATACCGATTTTTAATACCTTTGATACCGATAAGCTTTCAAACAATCTGGCAACGCTGCACCCGGATGCCAAGCTTTGCCGTTTCCCGCTTGCTGCATCGTCGTGGGATTCGTCGGGATGAACACACAAGAGTACAGCACAGATACACGGTTAGAAAAAAGTACCCAAAATTAAGTTTTTTTCACTCATCTCGGCACTATAGTGCAGGAACCCAAAAGTAGGTAAAGCGGGTCAAAGTAATTTTCATTTACTTGTGTGCAGTTCGTATGGAACTTTCCACTGGCTTTTAAACCAAAAGTAAGTTAGTTGTAACCAACAGTAGGTAAATATGATTATACTCAACGTTGGGTTCCCACACTTTACTACCCCTGTTGGGTAGTTTTGCTCCTCCGTTTTTGACAACATTAGAAGGAGAAAAGGAGACAAACTAGTCAAAAGTAGGTAAAAGTGAACTTTCCGTTGGGTATTTTTTTCTTACCCTGTAGAAGGTAGTTGTACCGTACGCACACAAGAATAGGACTATTTAGAGAAAGATAATAAAGAGGAGTAGAAAAATACAAGCAATGGAAATTTCGTGAAGCACGCTCTAGTTACAATAAAATCTCAGCTTACCGTTTTCTGTTGTGAAATAAATGTTTGATTTGATTTCGATATAATGTTGTCCTATTAAAAAATAGAATGATGGGAAGAAAGTGTCTTCATACTGTTCCGTCGTGTAATTCTGTTGTTGACTTCCGCGTGGTCGGAGTTTGACTTTATGTTGCGTACCTCTTTTGCTGCAGCTGCGCCTCTAGCGGAAATAAGTGGAACTACCGATGAGGAAAGCTTGACGTGTAACGTCGTTTTAGGTTTGTGTGCTCTCTTACCGTGAGCTTTGGAGAAATATTTCGAGGTGTCAGAGATTATGCTGTTTTTGCAATAAGGGTTTCTACCCGTTCATTTTCGGTGGTAGTGAAGCTGGCTCGATCTTTTCTTTTTAGGAAGATTACACTTGGACTCGCCCTGAGGCAGTCTCATCCGGGAAAAACTCATCATGGCATGCGGTCTCCTTTACCGGAGTGGCGCTTAAGCCGCATACTTAACCGAGATCGACCAGTGACGGCTACAGTATCTGAATTAAGTACTTTCCGTACTTACGTGCTTCTACACTCTGACCATCTAATCGTTTTGTTTCATATGTTAATCTTTCGTTTTTTTTAAATCGTTCGTTTAATACCAATAAAACGAATATTATAACCTGTTAAATCACATTGTTCGATCAACAATTTATTTCTGAATGATATCAACCATCACACTAAATGAGTATAATAAGTGAAATATCATAAAAAGATACCTTATGTAACGTAATATCAACTTTAGACTGAACTTGGCGTTAATCTGCACCAATCTTCCTATAATCCGTTATATTTGAAACATTTTTGTGCCATTTTGAAAAGTGAATCGATTCAAAATGTCGATTCAGAAAGATCGATTCAAAATGATTGATTAAATCGGTGAATTGATTATTTGAAAAAAAAAATGAATCGATTCACTAAGATCGATTCTCGCCCCCTGTGTATATTGCAACAAAGCAGGCTATGATTATCCTTGTACAACTCCGATCAAGCTATATTCAGGTACGTTTAGACTAAAGAGTCTGAATTTATAAAGAGGCGACATCTTATCCATTTGACAAGTCTTCTGCTCGATTGGAATGACTTTTCCTATGACTTTGACAGACAATCGGTTGTTCCAATTTTGACATGTCGCCTCTTTATAAATTCAGGCTCTTTAGTTTAGACTATCTCAATTGTTGGTCTGATTCGAGTTGACTGTTCGATAATTTTGTCGGATGTTCGAATGCGTTCACACTTTTTCGAGATGATTAGATCGAAGATAAGATTTGACGTTTGATTTGTCGAATGTAATAGGTTTGTGTTTAATTTTCATTCGACTCATTCAGTAAAATAGTCGCTAGTGAAATGAAAATTTTGATTTTTTTTTCTTCTAAAATTTCATGTATTTGATTTGTGTTTTGATGGCATCCAACAGCAAGGTAAACAGATTTCACTATTCAATGTGTATAATTTGACTGATTTTTATTTTCTAGTGTGTTCGGCCGTCAACAAAACAGTGTTTATATAACACGAAGTATGCATTATATCAGACAGCAGGTCTGATGAAAGCCTACTAAGAATTTTCTAGAGCCTCAGAGAGATTTGGAGATCTACTGAGAAATTTGTTGAGCTTCAGGGTAATTCGTAGATCTTGAGAACAGAACTACAAAACTTCAGAAAATTTTACAGAAATTAAAACAAATTTGCAGAAATTAAAAAAAAATCACAAGAAGATTGTCGATCTAAAAAAAAAACGAATAACGTTGTTCAAAGAAATTTTCAAAACTTCAAGTAACCTTAAACATTTTCAGATCAATTTGTAAAACTATAAAGAAAATTTTGTTAAATATTCAGGGAACTTCGCAGATCTTCAGAATAGAATATACAGTGAAATGTAAAGAATTTCACAGAAATTTATCGAACATCAGAAAAGTTCGTAAATTTTCAAAAACAAAGCTACAGAACTTCGGAAAAATCACAAGAATAGTCATAGATCCTCAGAAAAAAATTAGACCTTCAAAAAAGAGTGCAGATTTGCTGATGCATTTTTAGAATGTCAGTGAAATATGCAGAACCTCAGGGAAGTTCGACGGTTTAAAAAAAAATATTTATTTGTTTTCAGGGAAATTTGTAGATCTTGAAAGAAACATTTAAAACTTCAAGGAAGCTCAACCATTTTCAGATAAATTTTTAGAACTTTACTGCGGTTATACGCATAACTGTTCCATGTTGAGGTTCTTGGATTTTAAGTGAAATTTACAGAACTTCTGGGAAGTTCGCTGATCTTTATAGATATTTGCACAATTTCAGAAAAAAAGTAATAGATCTTTAGAAAAGTTCCTTAAATTTCCGGGAAGCTCAAACATTTCTAGATAATTTTTTTATACTTAAGGGGATTTTTGTTTTCTTTTTTTTTCTTTGATTTGTTTTCCGTCGATCTTGTTCCGCGCTGAGCACCAATGCTACCGACGCCAGGGAGGTAGATCCCACACCTAGAGCCTACCTATCGACCCATAAATTCATGAACCGGGGACCAACGGCTTTTCTTGCCTTCCGAAGGAAGGCGGTATTAAAGATGTTATGCCTCAGAACATCCCGGCGGCGCCGACTGGGATTGAACCCAGGCCTGCTGGGGTGATAGGTAATCACGCTTACCACTACACCACCGGCGCCGCTAGTATCAATGTTCCGTCAAGTGATCTTCGCTAGCGCCACATTTCATTCAGACTCTTTGAAACTACATGTGGTGAAATATAAAACATGTGGTGAAATATAGTGAATTGCACATAACAAGGTCCAGTGCCATCACTTACTCACACATGAAATCTCCCCCGATCAACCTGGCAGAACGTGCCCTAACCCTCACTGAACCAAAGGACAGGGTCTTGCATCGAAACACGTTCGATTTGCGTTGGGAAGTAAATCTACTCTTATTGTTATTGTGAAAACGTGGACGTCCAAAGTTTCCAAATCCATCCACTAGGAGCGCTGTAAAAGCCGAAAATGTGTGTTCCATTTCTTCACGCTTTTTCGTTGGAATTAGAAGGTTTTTATAAATGAACATATCTGAAACTAAAATCGATGGTTTGCTGCGGAAATGCAAGCAATGCCTGAAACTAAGCTAACAAATCTAGAAATCTCGTGAATCATAAGATTTGTGTTGTAGAAATAGCGAAGTGCGATAAGAAAATGGACTCTGCTATCTTCAGCTAAATCAATTTATTATTCTATTTGCTTTCTTCTTTTTCAGCGCATCAACAGTTTTAAAAATATGATTTCAAAATCCGCCAAGCGATTGCAGGGCAGTAAATATGCTGACAACCGTAGCATTGAGGTAAACGATAATCGCTACAATTACGATAAGAGACTGAGCGAACTGTCCTCTGCCGATGACGATCACCCACTCAAGACTTCTAACTTTTCTTTTTCCAATCTCTCTGTACGTATCATCATCATCGATTTGATTGTTGTTTGATAAGCTCTAACAGCGTGTTTCCTACATATATATTTTTTTCTGCCACCGCCAGTCAACCGAGTGCAATGAAAACAACGGAGACACGAACAAGGTTACCGAGGAAGTGAACTCGGTTGCCGTCGAATGGAAACCGCTCCGGAGTGTATCCAATTGTCCCTCCTGTTCGGTGCCATTCGATCAGATCACCAGAAAGGTAGGTAACGTTGTGTGCTCTTGTCACGAGCCGCCTAGGACTGATGATGAGTCTATCAATACTCAATAATGGCTACCTTACTAAAGCAGAACCATTGCTGGAGATGCGGCGGGGTCTACTGCAGTCGCTGCATCGATAAATCGCTCGCGTTGGCTGGCCATGACAGTGGTAATGTGGTTCCGGTTTGTAAGAACTGCTATCGCGTCTCGACGCAGGTTAGCCCTTCTTAGGCATTTAACCCGTTATGATTGCTCCTTAGTGTTTCCTTCCGTGTACCTTGCTTCAACGTCGTGTTTATATTGTCCGTTTATCAGTCACAAATGGATCAGCGTAGTTTTGCGAATTCCAGTTATCAGTTATGTTTAAAACTTATGAAAAATACCACATCACAACAGAAAAGAAAAGTGCCAATTAACTGCAAATTCGACGGTTGTCAGTTAGTTGATTAATGTTGGACAATCTATTCAAGAGTAAGCCATAAATATTGTTGACCGATTTGTTGTAGGTATTAATTACTTCACGTATTAGTTAGGTTTAAAAACAACTCGCACAATTCTTTGTACGATTATATTTTTCATTCAACATTATTACGCTTATTCTTTGTGAATTGATCGCTAGGTATTCAATTCATTTTGAACATCTATTTGAATTTGTGAAGTATTTCATTTAGTTTGAATACTGGGCGCTCGAATTGATAACGGAAATAGTTCCATAGCTCTCCATAATTTTTTGGTTTCCCACCGAGATTTTGTTTTAGTTAGTTTTTTCTGTTATATAGCTATATCTGGTCACACATCACAAGTTTTTTTTTCCAAATTAGTTTTACACTATTAGTTAGACAAATATATTCGGATTATTTATTCCTAATAACTAAATCTAAAATCATTCGCATCATAGGCAAGCGTAAAGACGAAGACATCTTGAAGGCTGTTGTATTTAGTTTATTCCTCTGTCATACTTTGTAATTGTGATATTTGAAAACAAAAATTCTGTTTGCCAATACGAAAGATAAAAACTAGATTGGAATGTATGAGTGTGAAATGCATTGTGCGCTATAGAAATGCTAGGGTCATTTGACGTTAAATGTAACTATTAGTCACACTGCTTGCTCAAAATCTGCTACACCTTCGCGGAAATAGCGACATACAAGCGACATCGATACATTATCTTATTTTAGTCTCTATAGGTTCAACCGTACCTTCAGTAGCACTTAATAAATACAAACCCTGCACAAGCAAGCTTAAGTGTAGTACGCATTTTGGGCAACTGATAAATCATGTATATTTATGGAAAGTATGTAAAACTTGTTGCTGATATCTGTTTCAATTCAATATGTATAATTAAAAGTCAATGTAAAGAAAATAAAAAAAAGTATTAAATATCGTTAAAACAGTAACCTTTTCTACAAAAGAATATCCTTTCTTCACATTAATGATCGGAGAATTAAAGTATCATCAAGGTGTTCATTGTTTACAGTTTGCAACGAAAATGTGTGTTAAACATTATATTTGTAGCGCATAGAATCAAAGGACCTATGATGATCGATTTTCTGCCCATTCTCAAATTGACCGACAATCGGATGCAAGTCAAAATAATCCACCACAGGAAGCATGCGAGTAAATATTTTTCTGAATAATTATTATAATTATTGATTGTTGAAAAATAAGTAAGCTGAAAAGTGAAGTTTACAAATGGAATTCATTAAATTAAAACTCACTGAGCAAAATCAATCAAAATCCAACATCATAAAATGTACGGTGATTAAATCGTAGCTAGAAACACAAAAGATTTTAAATTGAATACCGGCAGTCGTTCATGAGCATGAGCATGAGCATGATTGACCGCCCACGGTTGCTACTCTGTTATTGCCAGACCAGCTGTAATAACACAGAGAACCATTAAACAATGCTTGGGACTAGCAATCATCCTCAATGTGTAAAAACTGGTGATCTCAAACTAGGCAATACCAGCGCCGGCCGCGCCCGCACACAGGTCAAGATGGGAAGGAGTAGGAATGTGTTGACGTGACACTCGCTATGATAGAAGCCGAGAACACCTCTGCACTTCCACGAGGAATCACTGGGATATTGGGTAATAGGGTTGGGTTTGCAGCAGGGTTCGTTTTGGTAAACGATAAGCTGAATTGATGTCCTAACGATCGTATAACGCGAAGGACCTTGGGATTGAACCCACGGTCTTTTGCTCAGTAAGCAAAAACGTTTGCTACTACACCCAACCGGTGGATGTAAGATTCGCTTACAATTATGTGGGATTCATCATCAGAGGATGTAAGTGGAGACCGCATGAACCGAGGATGCAATATACCTAGCTGCGGTCCAATGCAAGAGAATTGGAGACCGAAAAATGTGGAGTGTATTAGTGAGTGAAATGAATTATGTCGAAAAAAATTGGAAAAAGGTTGCCGACTGGGACTCGAACCACGAACGTTGTGATTATCAGACCTGTGCTTTCTCCACTCCCTAATAAAAATTGTATGGTTAATTTGCTTAACGACGTGTTCTGGGTATCATCCAAAACATTTGTGGAATAGTTCAATGATTTGGGTTATCGTTCGTTTATGGTTATTTTTTATTAGGGCTGCTCTCTCCATGCTTCTGAATAAGGATAGCCTAAAAGCAAACAAGAAGCGCTCATTTCCTCTCACACTCGACTTCGTATGCTTTTTCTGCTGGAGAGATTCGAGGCAAGGGTGTGCGTCGTTCTACCATGTCATACATAAAAATCAAGGCAAATGCTTGCTTGTGTAGGTGAAAGCACAGACAGAACACGAAATAAAAAAGGCAAAAAACCATTACATCGCCTGCAAGGTCAACTTCTAACATTCGCTGCGATGTTCATGAACAGAGGATGATAGGAAATGGAACTAACATTCATTGTAATAGATTTTTGATTTGCGTGTAGGCAAACGAGCTCCTTTTTAATCATCGAGTTGCTGTTATTACCATGTAGTCATATTAACAAATAAAACCATTGACGAATCTTGATGTGGATGGGCTTGAGATTAGACTCAGGATGTTCTGCTCAGTAAGCAAACACGGTTGCTCTAAGGCCACCGAGCCCCTCATATCACATCATACCGTTACTCAAGTTGTTATAACTATTCAAACCCGGCACCGACGACAACGAAAGGTTTAGCCAAATACACAAGCGATCTTACCATACATTTTTAATATGAAATGACCTGGGACCGCGTTTTTCTGCTCAGTAAGCAAGCCACTGCAACCGACGATCTTTCAAATCCGAAAACAAAAGGCTACGAAAAAGTATTTAGGCCTTGATTAAATTCCACTATCACGCGACGTTCAATGTTTCGATTTGCTCTTTACGCATTGTTCAGGCAATCATAACAAGCTATGACCGACGTGACGATTGTTTAAAGTAATATGAGTAATATGAGTATTATTGTACAAATTACAGTACATTGTAGAACTTACCTCATTATTCTGCAGCACCATCGGTTTTTATTTCTGGATCTTGAGTTGTTGCGGCATACTATTTTGGGCGCCCAGATAGGCGTGTACTATGTAGAGTAGCTCATCTCTCGTCCTGCCAATGAATACTCCTTAGATGACAACCAGCTTCCTCTCCTCTTTTTCGCTATAATTTCTAGGTATAAGCGTGTCCGCTCTCGTTTCTTCTATAGCAATTGTAATTTATTTTCCATCACGCTTTTTCCACTTTTTCATCCACCTCCGGCAGTAAACCGCCATATTGTCTCCTAATACCGTCATTCGCACTTCTATTTTCCACCGACTACCGATGACGACGAAAGCACCCAAATCGTCCGGAGGAAAGGCTTCCCGTAATAGGAAGCATGACTAGGCCGCCGTCATTCGGTCGGTATCGACTTGCACTAGTATGGCTACCATTTGAAAAACAGCTGACCAATTCAAAAACGGATAGAGTCAAGAACTAAAGAGCCACCCACATTAGATCCGTTTGCGTTGCGTTGACGTAAATTTGGCAGTTAGACAATAGATTTAGCTGTCATTTTGCCGCAACGCGTCCTATCCGGATCTAATGTGCGTGGGCCTTAAATGATCAACATATTTGTTCCGTCCACTAGCAATCCTACGTCAAGCCTCCGTTCGTGCCCCTAGGCACAGACTTCTACTTTTTGAAGTTTTTTTTTTTTACGTGGGGCTACGTTTGTGATTTCTATATGGGGGCACACTTTGTGAAAACCGAAAATCATGTAACAAAATTATGAAAGATTTTGAACGTTAATAACTAAGCTGCCCCTGGACCAATTTGAATAATTTTATCACCAATCGTTAAGAAATGTACCTACGCATTTGTTTAGATTAGGAGTTTTTTTTTTCAAAATGCCACTTTTGAAAATTGCACGAATGTTCAACTGCTGCTAAGATAATTAAAATTAGCACCGATTGCCTGCGAAAAGTAATTTCCCTAACACAGATTTCAAAGTTGAATTCCATCCGATCTCACGAAACGTTGTTTATTCAATCACTGCGTGGCGAGTAGTGGTGTTCTCCAGTACACAACGAAAGGTTCCCCACCAGCAGCTAGCTATCAAGGCTGGCTTCAACCGCTGATCGGATTCAGTTCCAATCACCGAGTGTGGTGGTGTCCGGTCGTTGGCATCATCAGCAGTGCTTTCAGCGCGTGGCGTTGAACATTTTTCTCCAGTGCTCAACAAAAGCTACAGCCCACAAGAACATCCATAGAAGGAGGAAGAAGCCGCACCGCTATTGATTGGAATCAGTAGCTCTTCGTGAGTCGTTGTGGGACATCTATGCCAAGCGTGTCATCCTCATTCCAAACAACACACAGCTCACCAGCATCATCTGTGTTCAACACCCTAATAGCTCAGCATTACTCAACCATCACGACTAAACGGTCTTTTTCAAGACTATCATAAATTTGTTTAAGAGTATTTTTTAGACATTTTCCTAACCCAGATTTCAAAGTTGAATTCCATCCGGTGTCATCAATCGGATATCAGTTCCCATATGTTTAAATCTGACATACCATGTATTTTAAAGGCAATATTGGGGTGCAATTTCAAAAACCAATGTCAGTCGCGGCATGAAAGGGGTATAATTTTGATCCAGAGATGATGGATTTAATTCTCAATAAGTAAACCGAAAGGAAAATTTTCTACAAATCTGTTAAAATTAAGACTTTATCATTTTTCAAAATGTCACTATTGAAAATTGCACAATGTGCAACTGTTGTTATGTTAATTAAAATTATCACCGATTTCCTGTGAAAAGCGATTTTCCTAACCCAGATTTCAAAGTTGAATTCCATCCGGTGTCACCAAACGGTGTTTATTCAATCACCGCGTGGTGAGTGGTGGTGTTCTCCAGTACACAACGAAAGGCTGCCTGCTAGCAGCGAGCTGCGGCCCACATGAGCATCCATAGAAGGAGGAAGAAGCCACACCGCTATTGATCGGAATCAGTAGCTCTTTGTGAGTCGCTGTGGGCGGCCATCCATGCCAAGCGCGTCATACTAAAGAGTATAACAGATAAAACCCCGCTCAAATTCCTATTCCTACACAAAACACAAGCTCATGCTGCAGTTAACAAATAACATTTATTATATACGACCACGTAGTCCTACGTCACCATTGAGTACACCCCATAGGGCTGTCCCTTGTAGTTTTTATTTTGCATTTTAGGATCAATCGCATGTATGTAATAGACTTATCTCCAGAGAAACGAATTCCATGAATTTCCCAACCAATGGAATAAAAAAAAACGACAACCATCATTCAGCACGAGATTTAGCCATGTTATAATGTCATCTTGCCCAGAAAGTCCATTTGTTTTTTTTTTGCAGATAAATATAAATATAAATATTTGAAATGAATCTTACCGTTCGATATCAATAATCATTCGAGGGACATGTGAACAGTATTTCACTATTAAATTATTTTTCTTTTGATTTACGTCTACGTAGGCTTTCAAAAATTGAACTAAAATCATCCAATATTAAGATGACAAGCATCCGAATTGGTTTGCTATGAATCGAATGACGATCATCTCAATATCATCTGATAAGTGGTATAGAGCTTGGGTAAGTGAAAAATCATTCAAACCAAGGATGACGTTTAGGTTCAGTGAGGTTGCCCAGGACCACATTGCACACTGGGCCAGAAATGCAATCTAGTGGATTAAAATTAATAACTCCGAAACGAAGTATTTCTGCGACTTGGTGTCTTCGGCAATGTTTCTCTTCATAATAAGGACCATCTATTGGCATAAACATTGAACTATTTTTGACGTAGGACTATGTCTTTGATTTCTATATGGGGATACACTTTGTGAAAACCGAAAATGGAACATGTAACAAATTAAGAAAGATTTTGAACGTTAATAACTCAGCTGCCCCTGGTCCAAT